CGCTTATAAAGTTTAAGCTCCGAGGAAAGAAAATATGAACCGTCAAGCAGTTAATTCGACAGATTCGATTTATATGGAGATCTTTGTCTGAAGATTATGCTGTAAAATTAGTAGAAAGTATGCCTCGGAGATGCCAGTCAATTATTGATAATGGAGGCGACTGGACAACTTATTAATAATAAAGCATCGCAGTCTATATCATGCATAATGTGTAAATAAATAAATTTTTTCAATTTATGTATTATCCTAAGTTTTTGAGTTTTGCCGTACACGCTCTTATCAAACATACTGTATATACTTTGTATATTATTGTATTTGTTAAATAAAATTTGTCTCACCATTAATACACCGAGCACTAGATCGCAATTATTGATGTGAAATACCAATTGCTGCGTTCTGCTTGGAAAAATAGCCGCCATTCTGAATAGGAAGCACTGCACAGCTTCTCTCAATTCCGCCAACAACTGAGTCGCTCCTTCACAGGGGAATCCTTCGACTATGCTTACCATCGCAGCGCTAAACTCCGCATATCTCCTAGTAATCTAGAAATTCGCAATTTCGACAAATTGCCTGAATTACATTGCTGTATAATAACTAATAATTATGAATAACGATATATTCTTTGTACATAGATACTTACATAATGCGGGCCAGTTTCCTTATTGAATTTTATCGGGTCACACATTTTTATACTCTGTATGTTTAATTGAAATACGTATTCAAATCTAAAATGCAAACATAAATTTTCAAATTCTAACATCGTAAAATATTGGAACAATTATTGGAACACTAGTCTGCAAACAAAATTTTTTTCTTATTTTTCATCAACTTTGCATCAACATTATTTTGTTATTATACCAAATAAGATTTAGTACATTAACGATTTGATTGTAGCTAATAATTAGCTGCTTTGGCAACAAGAGTTAGACACAATAAAGTTAGTCAATAAAATTCACAGGGATAGAAGTCAATGCTTATAATGGCAGAAAATTATACATGCCAATTTTTGGTAATACATACATCCATTAATACGACTGAAGTTAAATTGAATCATTTCTTCGTAAAATAGACAAAGATATTTTTTCGTTATCTGTTGAATAAATGTGACAATCTTTTTTCTCTAGTGAAACTGATAAATCTGTTTTGCAAACTTAAATTAGCCCCAAATATGAAGTGATGTACTACAATAACTAACAAGTAAACCTACCTAAGTGTTACATTCCGATTTTGATAAGTTTTTAACATGCTGTAGTCTAGTTCTAAATATAAGACACATATTGTTTTATACGTGCCTATACGGCTGCCCATACGGTGAAACACCCTCTTGAAAAAAATTGATTTTAATATTTCTGACCGAATATTATTGGAACAGTAAATAATATAAAAAAAAGTTTTAAATAAAAGTTTTATGGATTTTAATGAGCTTTATAACATTGCACTCAGATTTTTCGAAAATATCATTTTTTTCAAAATCTCTTTTTTCTCCTTAATTTTGTAAAATCTGAGTACATTGTTATAAAGCTCATTAAAAATCATAAAACTTTTATTTAAAACTCTTTTTTGTATTATTTACCGTTCCAACAATATTCGCTCAGAAATATTAAAACCAATTTTTTTTAAAAGAGTGTTTTACTCTCTTACCGGCCATATGGACACGTATAAAAAAATATGTGTCTCTTATTTAGACCTAGACTACAGTATGTTAAAAGCTTATCAAAATCGGAGTATAACACTTAGGTAGGTTTACTTGTAAGTAATAGTAATATCTATAAAATCTAAATTTATTCTATTGCAAGTATAAGACGATGTATTATACACATAATAATCCTCTACTACATGTACAAATTTGCTTGATTATATAAGAGAAGTGAAGAAATATATATCGAACGAAGTAAATATATATCGGACGATTAAGACGGAAATCTCAAGAATGCGGACGACTGTTTTGCCACATAAAACCCACACAATTCCTACACGCACACTGATGTCTTACAAATTGATAATATTTAATTAAAATACTTATAACAAAGGTGCTGTTACTTATTTACGTTATTTAATAATTTGCTGAATCAGAAATTGTAGAAGAGATGAGAGAAAATACATTGCGCGCGCGCGCGTATGGTGGACTGGGCCAGGAATACCCAGACTTACCCTTTAGAAATTTAATACTGATAAGTGATAATTTGGCCAATGATAATTACTGTTGTTCAATAATTTTATTACTCGTACGAGTAATAAAATTACTATTTATTACTGGCTAACTTATCGCTGCCAGTGATACTTTTCTATAAGAGTACACTGAGAGAAGAATTTAGTAAATATTATTAAAATTTGATTACTGTTACTAAATGATAGACGTAAATATAGCGGGCCAAAGCTATGGCAATACTTATTAATTAATTTAGTTCTGTAAAATAAATTATTTATTTGACAGAAGTAAAATTTATTTGCTTCCAGAATATATTTGGTAAATAAAACTGATTGAATAGTTGAGCAAAATAAGCGATTTTGTAATAGTTACAAAATTTTTGATAGGTTCAACCAACTATCTGTAATAATAGATATTGAAACGATGTAATAGCTGCAAATGAATGAATTTTTCGTTGTGCTGCAACAAAACATACTTATACTGATAACAAAATAGAACCCGTACCTACTGAATTTTTTATTATATGGGATATAACGATTTCATAACAATTATCAAATATCTGTTCATAACTGTAATATATTTCATATTAAATATTTAAAATTAAGTAACTATTACTAAATTATTTAATTGTGTTACTGTGAATGCAATTACGTCATATTCCCAATCTATTAAATATTTGGTAATTATTATCATATTTAGTATTAGTTACTTAGGATTCAATGAATTTCTGTAACTAAATGCAGTTTGTTATAGTTACCAGTCTTTTCTCTCAGTGTATGCTTTCTATAAGAGTATTTTCCTCTCTCTCTTCTTAATAATTTTTATGTCAAGATAGTATATCTACAGTGAAATATATTTTATGATATTCAATAAAATATATTTGTTGAGTAACTAATCGTGTTTCTATTGGACCAAAAGAAACTTGATACATTAACAATATAATTAAAAACATCCATTGTAATTAATACATTATAATTAAAAACACTAATCTACAAAAAAAATAACTCTTTTGTTTGTCATATGGATCAAACTATGTGATTTATATAATATTTCTATGCGGAATAAAAAAATATTAACAGATATTTTTTTATTATCCAGAATTTTCTAGTGAGGTGATTTTTAAATTTCAAAAAAATTGATCAGATAAGACTTATCTAATTAAAAATGTAGAAGCTAGTGATTTTCTTCTATATTGAAAAAATCGTCTAATTGAAAAAAGTCGCGTAAAAACATTTTTTTAATCTTAATGAATCTTTATAGACAAATATATTACTAAAATAAAGGAATATTTTATTAAAAATATATTGATAATACTTAATATTAATATTGATAATACTTAAAACAAAATTAGATATTAATATTTTAAAAAATTAATAAAAAAATTAAAATCAAATTGCGAATTGTATGAAATGTTTCATATACAATTGGTCTGTTCTTTCGCTCTGCACTGCTGCACTAGTGCAATAAGTTAGAGTGAGACAAATATATATTTGTCTCTCTCTAACTTATTGCACCAGTGCAGCAGTGCAGAGCAAAAGAACAAACCAAATATCACATCTAAAATGACTGTCATAAAAAATGTCATATATCTCGAGTTTATTTTCGAATTTTACATATAAAAATATATAAGAAATACATCAGAAGTTCACAAGCTGTCTATTGACCAATATTATTATTACAATTATTTCTACATATAAAGAGAGTTTAAATACCTAGGCCAAATTATAGCTGTTAATGTTTCCCAGTGTTTATCCAATGCTGGTACCGCTCTTTTGTGACATGTCAATTGATAACGCATCACTAAATGCCAGCAGAGGAACAAGGCAATCGTATCATAACAGTCATCAACAAACGATTGCAAGTTTTTAATCATGAGATTCAACGTTTTTCCCATGACCTGTAAAGAGAAAATTGATTTAGATCTATTTATTACTTATTAGGTCAGTCATAAACTTTGGTTCAATTTTTTAGTCTAATTGAACTTTAATATATTCAACGGAAACGAATTATTCATGAAATAATCCGTCGTTACTTATGATCCTTCCCCAACGTTTTAGCAACATTCGTATCTTCTATTTTAGAAAGTCACCAGTTAAACATCAGAAAGGAAGAAAATCGAACTTTTTGACTGACTCGATATTTTATGAATTAAACAGATCATTATATATAATTCACTTACTTGATTAAAGATATCTAATGCCTGTGCATTACGGACTTTGAAAAACTCAGTCAGAAATAGATATTCTCTGCAGGCGTTATCGACCAAAGCATACTGCTCGCTTCTGAATAAAGCTTCGTAATGATACTGTAAAATTGTAGTACTAATTATGTGACAAGCTTCTTCTGGAGAGAGTACATCAATGTTACAGTATGTGATATTTATACAGGGTGTTTCTAAAGTCAGTTACCACCCCCATTATTTCGGAAACAGCTTAAAATTTCGAAAAATTGCAAAACATGTGTTCAATCATTTCAGTGGACTACTCTTATAAGGGAGTAAGGGGAGGTCACCCCCTAAGGAAGTACAATGGGACACCCAACTTTAAAATTTTAAATGAAACTCCCTATTTTTTATTGCATAATCTTATAGCTTATCTCGAGAGTTTTTCAAAACACTATAATAAAGTATTTTTTTGTGAAATATTTTTCGAGTTATGAAGCTTGTAAGTTACAATGTGTCAACATTATCCAAGATATGGAAATAATAAGTGTATTTTTTGTTTTTTTATTGTGATCAGAAAACGAAATAAACGTAAATTAATTTATTTAGTAGTAGTTTATTTATTATTTATTTATTTGGTATCTAATGTAGATTATTTGCGAAACAACTATTCAAATAAATGATGTTACAAAAGAAAAACAAACGTTTCAAGAAAATTACTTTCTAAAGGTAGATAATCTTTATAAGATGAACAAGAAATAAGAATTTTAGACACATTGAAAGTCAACGAGCAAGTAGCATTTACAAAAACTATAAATTGAAAGTCAAATTACCAACTCCGTTGGTCAAAGTGGTCAGTAATGCCAAATTGCAGACGCGACAGTATGTAGGAAAGGATATTACTAGCACTGGAAGGGATTCCGATCATTTAAGCTTTGAGGCATTCGCCGCACCGCGTCGTTCGTGTGTGCACATATCGACGCATGCTGTGACTTTTAAGTCTCATAACTCGAAAAGTATTTAACAAAAAAATAATTTATTATAGTGTTTTGAAAAGCTTTCGAGATAAGCTATAAGAATATGCAATAAAAATACATTGTACCTCTTTGGAAGGGCGACCTTCCTCACCCCTTTAAAAAAGTAGGCCCCTGAAATGATTAAACGCGTTTCGTGATTTTTCGGAATTTTGAACCGTTTCCGAAATAATGGAAGTAGTAACTGACTTTAAAAACACCCTATATATTTACGAATTATTATATACATACGCGTGTCTTAGAGGCAGTGTGTGGAACAATTATGGGTGCTTCCAACTGAGAGGACAAAACCTCACCCCTTGTGTCTATAGAAAAGACAGTACCTTTATGCTTTAATGTTGTTTTATGAAACATGCTTCTACCTGCTGTGTCTTCAACTCCCATTAAATCATCCTTTGATGCTTTCTCCTCAAACTTACAAAGATAAAGATTGTAACGTTGTTTCTTTTTATTTAAATAACACCAATTTCTTTGCCTCATCTTTCTCACCTGCAATTTTATCAACCTCGACGAATAAGACTTAAAGTACGAATAATATATTTTGCTCATGGTATCGATATATTCTCCGCAGATCTCCTCCGCTACGTTCCTTTCATTTGCCATAATAAACTCAAAGAAGAACTTGTATTTCAACATGTTATTCTGCGGTACTTGATAATTCGTCATCGGTTTTCTGAATTTATAAATTTGCTCTAGCAAATAGGTCCTGATCTTTGCCATTGCTTTCACTTTCAGCTTCTCCAATATGTCCTTCACGTCGAAACATGACTTTGCTTCCTTGAAACTTTGTTCTTTCACAAAGTTTATTTTATGATTAAGAGTTTGCAGCTGAATTAAAAAATCCTTCTCAGTCACAGGACAATCCATTATGCCTCTATCCACAGAAATTTACTGCATGTTATGTATAGATGTCTAAATAACATATTGTTTTATAAAATACTTGCAAATATTTCTTACGCGATCAGAGTTTCAGACACAGTCATGTCCTCAATGAACTGACTAAGCGGACCACGTATCACCTGTCTATTAGAAAGCTGTTGACTCATAGTAACAGATTTACGTTGCAGAGAAAGTATCTCTGAGCTAATACTGCCTAGATCTGATTGAAAACTCATCAATATTGATTCCATTTTCTGTAAGCAAAATATTTGAGCTTTTATTCTAAATCCTGTTATTGACAAAAGTCCTGATTGGCTTATTAGCACATTTAGAGTCTTTTTATTGGTAAAAAGTGTTCAGAATAAAAATTATAGTTCTTTTTTGAATTTGTAAAATATTTTTCCAACAAATCTTTGCTCACTAGTATATTTTATATATAAATATATTAAAAAAAAATATATATATATATATATATATATATAACAGATTCTTTTAATATTAATTTACTTTTAATATTAATTTAAAAGCCCGGAATAAGATAACTTGTAAAATAAAATATAATGCATAACGTCAATGCAAAAATCTAACCTCCAAAATAGTATCACAAGCGGCGATTTGGTTGTGTAAGCTGGCTATATTTTGACTCTCCTTAATATAATCTTGAATTGATTTGTTCTCGACTTCTTTCAGCTCCTTTTCGATTTGCCTAGAATATTGACGCAAATCGGTACCAGTTTTGAGAACTTCCTGAACGACATCATCGCCAAGATCTTGTGGCAGCTGCTCTTCGTTGTTGTAAATATCAATTTCAGCCATTCTCAGATATATTAAATTATGCGTTAATTAGTTAATTATTTAGTTTACGAAGTAAAATCACTTTGTGGCATGAAATATAAACAGGATTAACCTTAAATTGTTTTCAGTTTCAATATTTGGCTGAAAGCACTTTGCTTTAAGTGATTCTACGCCATTGCTCCTATTTAACTTTAAATTGTCAAACTTGTCAGCTTAGGGTGCGTTCAGATTCCCTACCCGGGTGCACTCTATTACTAGAAACACTATAGTATATGTTACATATACTATAGCACTTCTAGTATTAGAGTGCACCCGGGTAGGGAATCTGAACGTACCCTTAGTGGTCTGTTCTTTTCAGCTGCACTGCTGAACTGGTGCAATAAGTTAGAGTGAGAAAACATATTCTTATCTCACTTTAACTTATTGCACCAATTCAGCAGTGCAGCTGAAAAGAACAGACCATAAGTCTGTTCTACAATAGAGTCTGGACTACACTAGAGGTTTGTTCGCGTCGCATGCTCCAACGTGCTCCTACTTGCTCCAATGCACTCTGATTGGTCCGTGTGGTGACGTAAACCAATCAGAGTGTTGGAGCGAGTAGGGCACGTTGAGGCATGCGACGCGAACAAACCTTTTGTCTGTTCTTTTCCTCTGCACTGAGACTACACTGGAACTGCACTGGCACTGCACTACACTAGCACTGCACTGCATTATGGCTCCTGCACACAGGACGCGGTAACGCTTGCCGAACGGCGGAAATCCAGGCGACAGCCAATCAATATGTTGTTCTTCCATAAGAGCTAGAAGGTTATTACGGAAAGCAGCATATTGATTAGCTGTCGCGCGAACTTCCGCCGCGCGGCAAGCATTACCGCGTCCTATGTGCAGGAGCCATTACACTGAACAGTGTAGAAGTCTTAACAAAGAGGAAAAAAACGTCACAGTGAATAACATGGGGCGTCACATAGTTCGAAACTAGGAATTAATTGATTCTTCAGATGAAGAAGAGATGCTTGCAACTATCTTTAAAAACTACTCAGATAGCACAGAGAATTCAAAAAGAATTCAATCGTATGTCATCAATTCTGAGTTCATTTTCAGATGTAAAAAGAATTCTTCAGAGTTCAGTTTAGTAAAAAGAACTCTTTTTGTATCTAAAAATGAACTCAGAATTGGTGACATACGACTGAATTCTTTTGGAATTCTCTGTACTATCTGGGCATCTTTAAAATTGTGCCATTTTTCTGTTTAACTCCATATCTAAAATAAATATGTAATCCATTTTATCTGAATAACTATAATCATATCATAATTACTTAATTATATTGAATTTTACTTTAATAGGAATTTTACCTTACAGGTATTTTGTTATTAAGTTATTATGCTGCTTGTTTATTTACATATATTTGAAGATTCCAACCTATTCTTATTCGTGTACGTCGCAATATTACACTACATCGCTGCCCTAGCTCGAAACCTAGGGCAAGCAGTGCAGGGTAGCGATCATGAATCTTTCACGTGAACTTCATTTTCATTTTTCACTTTTCACTGTAAGTTATTTCACATGAAAAGTGAACAATGAAAATGTGGAAAGCAATATTTATATAATATAGATTATTAAAATTAAAATGTAATTACAGTATACACAATGTAATATATAACACATTAATAAGCATTATACAACTTAAATTTATAGTTATAATATAATATAATAATACAATATGAGTAAATTTAATAAATGAGACAAACGTTAACCGTGAAAGGTGAATTCTCAAAACGTGAAATATTTCACGTGAACTTTCAGTTTGTTCGTATATGTTCTTTTTTACATGTAAATTGTGTAAGTTTCCATCAAAATTTTTAAGCATCAAGCGATGTGGTTTAAATGTGAAAAATAATGTAATACTACACTCGCATATTATGTACAAAGTGAGTAGAATTTCTTATAGTGACTTTCATTTTTATGGTTATACGACAATTGACATTTGACATAAAAATCCTACGTCCATTAAAAACGAACAACGAAAGCCAATTGAAGCGTGATGACGTATAAGCAGTGAAAGTATATCGACGAAGTTTACAAAGTTAAGATACGTATGCATCAGAAAGTTAAAGTGTAATATATTATAAATTATATGCAGTAAGTAAAATGTAAGTTTATTTTATATATTTATTGCATGTATTTTATGTATTATTTTATATGAAATATATATTTTCTGCAGATTTATAATTTTAATATAAATAGAATATTTTATCTTTTAATAATTTATCCTAAAGTAATCCCAGGCAAGCACACTTCCAAGGAACGTTCTAAAGACA